ATTCACATCGCAGTATTGAAAGGACTTTAGTGATTGTTTATCCGGGCTATCCCTCACTCTTGTGTTTGTGTGTGTGTGAGTGTGGTGTGGTGCTGGGGATGGAACCCAGGGCCTTGTGCATGCTTGGCAAGTGCTCTACCACTGAGTCATACCCCCCCCCACCCCGGTCCAAGGGCCTGCTCTTCTAAATTTGAATTGCAACCTTTTCCAATGGAAAGTCCCCAGACATAGAAGATTGTGTGCTTCAATAAGCCTGTGTGCTCTGTTTCCCTTTTGTCAGTTTTGGCCACAAGATCGTATGGAAGGCTTTGGAAAGTTCCACACTGCAGAAACCTGTTTATTTTGACTAGGACTCCTTGTAACAGAAACTGTCCATCTCAGCCTATTTGAAAGAGCTCTCTTGACTTTGCAGGTCTAATTCTGGTCAGCTGTTTATCCAGAAAGTCATTTCCGTGTGCAGAGCCTAGTTCTGGCCATCCTTTGGGGTCCCTGAGCAACATCTGTAGGCCCTACTTTGCTTTCTTGGCCAAATACCCTTGGTTCCTTCTAACTCTGTATTTGCGTGGGATCTTAGCCCATTCTCCTTCATGGGGGGCTTCTCACCGAGCAGCCCTAGAGCCTCCTTGGAGTGTGGAGTCTGTATGGAGACAAGAAGAGTGTCTTTGAGCAGGTGGGAGTGTGGTCTCTTCATTTGGGATGTGAAACTTTTCATTCTTGCCATCAGGAATGTTTCAACTCACTGTGGCACCCTAGGTCTCCAAAGGTCCTAGTGCTGATAAACTCTGCCTCTCTCAAAACCTGGGCTTGAGAAGTCGGTCAAGGATCTTATTTTAAAATTGTGTTGGTGAGGGAGGGGTGAGGATAGGTAAGACACCCAAAAAACTAGCTAGCATTTGTTGCCCTCAACACAGAGAAACTAAAGAAGATACCTTAAAAGCAACTGAGGCCAATAGGAGAAGGGGACCAGGAACTAGAGAAAAGGTTAGTTCGAGAAGAATTAATTTAGAAGGTAACACACATGCACAGGAAAGCAACTCCCTGTATAGCTATCCTTATCTCAACTAGCAAAAACCCTCGTTCCTTCCTATTATTGCTTATACTCTCTCTTCAACAAAATTAGAGATAAGGGCAAAATAGTTTCTGCCTGTAGTAAGGGGGTGAGGGGGAGAGGGAGGGGGCAGGGTAAGTAAGGGAGGGGGCAGGGGGAAGGGGGAGAAATGACCCAAATATTGTATGCACATATGAATAAAAGAAAATAAATAAATAAATAAATAAAAATAAAATTGTGTTGGTATAAACTAAATTTTACTTTTTTTTTTTTTGTGGTGCTGGGGGATCCAACACTAAATGCTAGGCAAGCACTCTACTACTGTGCCACACTCCAGCATCCAAATTTACTACTTCCAAATGTACAGATCTGTGACATTAAGCACGCTTACATTGTTGTGTGACTATCAACACTGTCTGGTCCCAGCACCTTCTCATTCTGCAAAACCAAAACTCTGTTCCCATTAAACAATAAGCTCCCTTTCCCCACCCCATCCTCTGACTACCGCCATTCTGTGTCTGAGAATTTGATTATGCTAGGTACCTCACATAAGTAGAATTTTACAATGTGTGTCCTTTTGGCTTGTTTCACTTAATGTACTGTGAATTCACAAAGTGTTGAATTCTCTTCAGCTTTCATCTGTGTTGTAGTACACGTTAGGACTTTCTTTTTATTGCTGAATAATATTCTATGGCATAGACACACCTTTTGCTTATCTGTTCATTTGTTGGTTGATACTTGGGCTGCTTCCACCTTTTGGCTATTGTGATTAGTGCTGCAATGAATATTGGGGTGCAAGTATTTCTTTGAGACCCTGCTTTCAGTTCTTTTGGGTATACACCCTGAAGTGGTATAGTTGATCATATGGTAATTCCGTGTTTAGTGCCTTGAATTCTTTCTTTCTACAGTTTGTCCCTGGACACCAGATCAACTTGCTGAGATCTTTTGGGCCTAGATTCTGCCCTAGCACCAGAATCTTGACAACCAGCACCTTTCTGGTTGTCTGGGTATCTGTACTTGTCTGCCTTCCTTACAGGGCCTCATGGAGGGCAGTGTCAGATTGACCATGGTTTTCTGTTAGACCAGCTTGACAACTGTGTTTCAGAAGTAAACAAGGAACTGGGTGTGGTAGTCCATGTCTGTAATTCCAGCACTTGGGAGTCCATGTCTGTAATTCCAGCACTTGGGAGGCAGAGGCAGGAGGATCGTGAGTTCAAGGTTAGCCTGGGCTACATGGCAAGTTCCAGGCGAGCTTGAGCTACATGGTAAGACCTTGTCTCAAAAAGAAAACAGTAGATGAGGGGCCAGGGATGTAGCTTATGGTAGTGAGTATGCCTTTTTAACAAACACAGGACCCTGGGTTCCACACTTAGCACTGCCAGAAAAAAAAAAAAGTGAATAAACATATGGCCCAGAAATTCTACTCTTGGATATATACCCAAGAAAACTGAAATATAGGTCCACACAAACACCTGTATACCAATGTTCAAAGTAGCGTTATTTGGGCTGGAGGCGTGGCTCAAATGGTAGAGCACCTACATACCAAGCTCAAAGCCCTTAGTTCAAACCCCAGTATGCCCCTCCCCCCAAAAAAAACCCAAAGTAGCATTATTTATAATAGTTAAACAGGGAAACAGCTCAAATGTCTATGAATAGACAAACAAAATGTGGGATATGTGTACAGTAGAACATCACACAGTAGAACATCACTTGGTAGTAAAGGATACAAGACATTGATAGATGCTATTGGAATCATTGTGCTAAGTGAAAGAAGCCAGGGGAGAAAAACTATACTGTATGAGTGCATTGATGTGAAATGTTCAGGAGACACAAACCCATAGGGACAGAGAGACTAGGAGTTGCTAGGAGCTGGGGAGGGGAAGGAATGAGGAATGGTTGCTAGTGGATTTCTTTTTAGAGTGATGAAAATGTTCTAGAATTAGATAATGATGGTTGCTCGACCTTGTGAATAGACTGAAAAACACTGAACAGTTTAAAGGAATGGATTTTATGGTGTGTAAATTATATCTCAATAAAGCTTTTATTATTTTTAAGCAAAGAAAAGTAGGTAAAGAGGGTCCACCCCAGAGTCATTTTTAGTAAGCACATATAAATCATTGCTTCCTTTTTTAAGCACTTACAAATCATCCTTTGTTACTACTAGGTCCTGGGCTGGCCCATCTGTGATTTGTAGATTCTGCCCACTTCCTGGAAACTTTGAGGCATCTTGCTCAGTTCCAGACATGGGGCCCCTGTCTTCAGGGCTCCTTAGAGCTCACCAAAACGCACGCAGGAATCTTGTCAGGGTCCTTTTGCACCTTGCAGTGTAACTCTGCTAATGAGAAGGACATGCCCAGTGGGAACACAGAGCCCAAGGAAGAAATGCCCCATGGAAGAGGGTTGTGAATGCTGGGTACTGGAAAAGAACAGACAATGGGTACTATTGGAACACAGAGGAGAAAGCGGGCGGCTCCCCCAAGATCTGGGGAACAGGAAAGAGAGCAGAGAGGGGTGCATGCGTGCCGGGTGGGAGGAATGGTGTGAATTCCCATGATGGCTGGCACAGACTGTGTTGGGAATTCCTGGGCCTCTTCTCCAGCTTGATTGTGGAGCCTTAAATGCCACAACCCACAGTGGTAGATTTCCAGTTGCCCACAGGCTACATTTCTTAGTGGGTGGAGATGCTTCTCACAGTGGGGCTTTTGTCACTGGGGTTGGGAGATGTATAGTGAAGAAGGCTGATTGACTGATTTATTTAATTAAAAAGTTATGGTTAAATGCATATAACAAAATTCACCATTTTAACCATTTGAGCATATGGTTCTGTGGCATTCAGCTGTCACAGTTTTGTGGCAGTAACTTTGCCATCTATCCCCAAACCTTTTCCTCATCCCAGACTGAAGCTCTACCCATTAAGAGCAGCCCTGGCAACTGCTCTTCTACTTCCTGTCTCTGACTTTCACTACTCTAGGCACCTCATGTAAGAGGAGTCGTACAGCCCATTTCCTTATGGCTGGCTTGCTTCACTTAGTATGAATGATACCTTGAGGGTTACCCATGTCGTACATGTGTCAGCGTTTCTTTCCTCTTTACTGCTGAAGAATATTCCAGAAATACATATAAGCATAAATACACCATACTCTGTCTCCATTGTGTGGATGTGTTCCTTTTTGCTTATCCGTCCATCTAACCATGGACTCTTGGGTAGAAAGACCTAACTATTTCTTCTTCTCCTTCCTCTCCTCCTCCTCCTCCTCCTCCTCCTCCTTTTTTTGCAATGGTGGGGATGGAACCCAGGCTCTCATTCATGCTACCCAAGTGTTCTCCCATTGATATCATTGACCTAATACCCCCAGACCTGAGTAATACGGGGTATCTGGGTAGCAGGAAATAATGAAGACTTGAAGGGAGGAGAGCCAGGGGAGCCCGTGGGGAACCCTATGAGGTTGTGTGTGTGTAGAGAAGGGGGCAGGGCAGGGTGGGGTGTGGCTGGGAGAAGGCCCCTCTCAGATGTCTGAAGGTGGCTTGGCCCAGGGAGGAGAGGACGGGGCTGGGCACTACCTGGTGAGGTTGGGCTTATTTCCAGGTATGGGTCTGGGGTTGAGGGATAGCCAGCAGAAGTGCTGGCACTGAGAGAGGACAGTCACCTATACAGATGTGGCCAAATACTAGAGTAGGAGGAGCTTCTAGAGACACAGAAGGAGTAAGAGAAGAAAAGTGGCGGTGGGGGGGGGCATTGGAAGTGGGTGTGGCAGTGATGAGGGATGGAAACTACAGGAGGGTCCTCCCTGAGAATTACTCACCTCTGCGGAGGTGGCTTGGGTGGGCACTGCCAAGCAGAAGATGTTTGCATCATTTTCCAATAGATGAGGTGAAAGGAATGATGCAGTTGGGAGACTTACAAGGGTCCTTTAACGCTGACCATGCCTTCCCTTGAACCTACAGGTATGACGCTGGACGAGATGGCTTCATTGACCTGATGGAGCTGAAGCTGATGATGGAGAAGCTGGGGGCCCCTCAGACTCACCTGGGCCTGAAGAGCATGATTAAGGAGGTGGACGAGGACTTTGATGGCAAACTCAGCTTCCGGGAGGTACCTGTGTCCTGCTGGTCCCAGGCCCCTAGGCCAGAGTGACACTGAGCAGAACCTCAGTTCATAGTTGCCTGAGTACAAATGGGTTGGTCTCATGAGAGTGCTGTTTGGGATCTAACCTGCAATTCTGTTTTAAAAATATCCTCAAGGGACGGGTACAGTGGCTCACAGCTGTAATCCTAACTACTTAAGAGGCTAATATCGGCAAGATCATGGTTCCAGGCCAACTCCAGGCAAAAAGTTAGTGACCCCACCTCAACCAATAAAGAGGTGGTGCATGCCTGTCATCCCAACCACACAGAAAGCCTAAATAGGAAGGTCAAAGTTCAGACTGGTTCTGAGCATAAATGTGAGACCCTATCTCAAAAATGACCAAAGCAAAAAAGGGCTGGGGCATGGCTCAAGTTGTAGAGTACCTGCCTAGAAAGAGCAAGGCTCTGAATTCAAATCCCAGTACCACCTATATATATCTATCTTTAAAAGAGGATGGGGGTGTGTGTAATTTAGCATGTACTTAGTATGCTAAGTACAGCACCAACAAATAAATAAATAAAATCTTTAAGGAAACAGTTAACTACAGTGCCAACTGGGAAGATGGCCAGTGAACAGAGTAAAAACCAGCACAGGCAATATAACCTCATTTGGGTGTTGTGGCTGCAAAGTTTTGGTGGGTTTAGAGTGCTATGCTTTAAAAAATATTAGCACCTTTTGGTTTTATGGCAAACTTTTGAAAGTAGTAAAAAACTAAACAAGAGCTCTTAGTCTGTGCGCATGGATGGGACCCTCCAACCCCAAGCAGCCCACGACTGGCTCTAGGGCTTTGAACCCCTGAAGTTGCAGGCCCAGTTTGACGTGTGTGGGTGTCTCCTGGGGAGGAGTGCACGTGACATTCACAGCTGGATTCCTAAATGGCTGAGGACCTTGGTGAAAATCCATACCTATTTTGGGAAAAAGCAGTCTCAAGGCCATAGAGTTTCTTCCATGGCAAGGGTTCTTCCCCACAGGGGAGAGAATTTCTCATCTTGTGGGGTTTTTTGTGAGTTTCGTTGGCAGGCCTCTGGATGTGTAGGTGGAAGCGGATGGTACAGGTTGGGAGCATTAGGCCAGCTCCTATGGTCTCTGTCCCAGTCTTGTCTCAAATGGGCACTTTGAAGGGGGATCAGAAGGCTGTTCTTGCCTCGTGGTGTTTTCCCTTGGTTGGCATCCTGGTGTCTGCTAGTGGGATGCTTGGTCAAGTGCAAGTCTTCTGGCCAGGTTGACAGGACTGTGTAAGACTCTTCCTGTGGATCTGCAGCCACACTGGCCACCACCAAGCCCCTCTTCCATTTGAGATGAATTGGGTTCGCCACTTGCTGCCCACAAATCAGCTCCAGAACCTGCTCTCTCTTCCTCTCTTGACCTGTAGCCATGGAACTAGTAGATGTCATATGGTCATTTATATACTGTACTGTATGTACCATATTTGGTTGCCTTCCCATTTCCTGACATCCAGCTCCTAAAACTCTTGAAATACCTGGAGTGTCTTTTGGATACTAATGAGAAGACTGGTGGCTGGCCACCTCTGGGACAGACTGGTCACAGGAAAGACCAAGAGCAATCTCTGGAGAAGGAAGATTGATCATCAGTGGCCAATGATTTGATTTAATTAATCATGTCTATGTAAGGAATTTCCATAAAATCCTAAAGGACTGGATTTGATGGTGGTGGTAGGATTCCAGATAACTGAGCGACATGGAGATTCCTGGAGGGTGTCTCACCCAGAGAGGAGATGGAAGCTCTGCCCCTTCACCCATACTATTTATCTCTTCGTCTGTATCCTTTGCAGAATCCTTTGTAATAAAGTGATAAATGTAAGTAAAGTGTTTCCCTGAGTCAGGAGCTACTCTAGCAAATTGATCCAACCCAAGGAGAGAATTGTAGGAACCCCAATTTATAGCCTGAAGTTCTGGGGGCCCAGCCTAATGTCTGCCATGTTAAAGTGAAGGAGGCAGTCTTGAGGACCAAATGTGGATAGTGTCAGAGCTGAATAGGATTAACAGACACCCAGCTGGTGTCCACCATCCAGAACCAACTGTTTGCTTGGTGTGTGGGACCCCACACTTCTGGGGTCACTCACAATACCTGTGTGAGTGAGAGAATAGGAGACCAGTTTGGCTTTCCCTCTGTTATCACAGTAGATCACAGGAAACTGTTTTGGGGCAACCTCAGATGACGGCGTCCAGCTTTCATATTTAAGGGCTAAAGAATCCAGACCCAGACCCCAGCCTCTAGCACCCACCTGCTGTCTTTACAGCTGCCAGATCTGTTCCCATGGTCTTATTCATCTCCTGCTGGGCAGCAGCCCCTCCTGCCCCGGTTCCCTTGGAGCATGGAAGGTAGAAGCTTTTGCCGTAGGGAAACCTGGAGGAGACCTTGCGGAAAGAGTTTCTGCTTTGGTCTCCAACATTGTGACCTCCAGAACAGCACATGAGAGGGTGTTCAGCTGAACTAGACCCAACTCCCCTCTGCCCTGTTTTGCTCTGGGCCACCTGCGATGTTCCACAGATGCTTGGCCAGCTTTTGGTTAGCAGCCGATGCAGCCATTCCCCCTTAGGAAGCTGTAGGGACATTGGCGTTAATCCATTGTCAACTCTGAGCTCCCTGTGGTCCCATGTCTAGCACTTTGCCGCTGGGCATCTGGGATTTAGAAGTATAAGGACAGGTGTGATCATACAGACCTCACCACCTTACAGCCTAACCTCTTGTATATCATTTCACTCTGTGGGTTTCCACCTGTGCTGGAAGCCATGAGCGGTTACACTGTGTTTATGCGCTGAGAAAAGCCTGGGCTTACAGTCAGACCTTGGTCTGTCCACACAGAGCTCTGACACTTGGGTAACTCCTTCTTTTTTTTCCTCTTTGCAGTGTTGGGATTTAAACTCAGTGCCTTGTGCTTACTAGGCAGCCACTCTAACACTTGAGCCACTCTGCCAGCCCTTTTTTGTATTGGGTGTTTTTGAGATAGACTCTCAAGAACTATTTGCCTGGGCTGGCTTTGAACCTCAATCTTCCTGATTTTTGCCTCCTGAGTAGGTAGAATTACAGGTGAGAGCCACCAGCACCTAGATAGGCAACATCTTTTACTACATTTTTTGAGAAAGGGGCTTGCTATGTAGTCCAGGTTGGCCTTGAACTTATTATGTAACCCAGGCTGGTTTGGAACTCTCCATCCTCCTGCCTCAGTCTCCTAAATGCTGGGATTACAGGAGTCCACCACCATGCCCAGCTACTCTTGGGTTCGTGAGACATCCTTTTAGTATAATGAATACCTCCTTTTTGCTTAAACCAACCAGTTTATTTCTGTCACTTACAATCTCAGAGCTCTAATACAGGGGAGGTATTTGCATCAATGGCCAGATCCAGGGAGTTAAAAACTCTCTAAATCTAGCAGAGGCTGAAAGAGCTTTTGAGCTTTGTGAGTTCTCTCTCTGTCCTTTGTTTTCCACCTCTCTTTCCCCTCCCCCCTTTTCCTCATAGTCACAGTTAGGACATTTTCCAATTCTTCTACAACATGCCAGTCTTTGTGGACTATAAATAGCAAGACAAACAAGGCTGGGCAGTAAGAGAAATTGTCATTCTGGTAGTGAGTGACTGAACTCAAGTGAAATGAGAATGCCTGAAATGCTTTATGTTCAGGTTGAGCTGGGATTTCTTTTTTTCTTCTTTTGGCTGACTGGGGTCAGGGGGACTCCTGAGTTATGATGGGGCTGCAGTTGGTCACCTGCTGAGATGACGGAATAAGCACTCATGGCCTGGATTTGCCCTAGACTTGAGGACCCAGAGGAAACAGCTCTGGGGAAAAGACCCATAAAGAATTCCTTAATGTTTTCGGCTCAAAAAGCCCTTCTGTGAACATGAACACTGCCATCTCCGTCTGAGATGTCAAAAAACCAAGCATGAGGATGGAGAGAGCCCCAAGGCCACTTAGAGTGGTGCTGAGCTGGGGTTGCCTTCTCTCTTTCCTAAGTGGCCTCCCCAGGTCCATGAGGACAGCTGGTGGGGAGGGCTGTCTCCTCCTGGAGCAGTGAGCTGGGGATCTTCTTTGAATGAAGTGCCTTAAGGATGGGTCCAAGTTTACTCTGACTTCTGTTGCTATAACAGAATACCTGAGATTGGGATGCTTAGAAAGAAAACAGGTTTATTTTGGCTCGTGGTTCTGGAAGTCCAAGAGAACCATGCTGGCATCTTTTTGGCTTTTGCTGAGGGCTTTATGCTGCTTCAACTCATGGCAGACAGCTCAAAGACAAGCAGCCTGTGTGGAAGAAAGATAAAATGGTGAGAGAAGAAGCAACAGAGACTCAGCCCCCTGAGAAGAGTGTAAAGTCCTCTTGATGACCTAATCGATTCTCACAGGCCCACCACCTCTCAACACTTGCCTTGGGAACGAAGTGTCAATGTAAGTTTCAGGGGACACACCATATTCAAGCCATAGCAGCAGGGTACAGAGGAACGGCATTTTTATTCCTTCCTACTGCTTACATTTGCAACACTGAAGTCTTTGCTACTGCCATCTCTTCTATGTGAGAGCTCACCACCGTGGGCCCCACTTCCTTGGCCTTGATCCCACTGGGGCCCAGCCTCCTTTAGTAGGCTTGTGTTCTTCCCAGCCAGTGTCCTGTCTAAAGCCAGTCTTTGCTGGCCTCTAGTGAGAGCACTTGAAGCTGCAGGTGGATGAACTTGGTGTTTCTGTCAATCCAAACCTACCACGTGGACCTCAGGGAAGCTACAAATCTTAGGGCGTCTGGTTTCGTCCCTTGATTGGTCCCTGGCAAAGTCCCCAATGGATTGAAGACCCCCGAAGTGAAGAAGGTTAGGGTTTCACTCAACATAACACAATTCCCTCGAGGGAGTAAGAGCCATGGGAGTAAAAGGCTGGAAAACCTGTTGAAGTTGCTGACCTGTCACTGTGTTTCAGGTGACATGTTCTATTGCCTTTGAGAAAGGCATTCTTTAGGGAAGATGGCCATGCAACAGGACATGGAAACCTGAAATTTCCCTAAAGGTTTATGAATTTTAAGCAGCACCTGAAAACCTTTGCTTTGTTAGAGAGGACAGGAAGATGAAGGACCAACCATTCAAGCTTAGCCAATTTACTTATTTAAGAATTTACTCTCTTTCCAACTTAGGACTGGTAGAATGGCTCCTGCAAAGAAGGGAGGTGGTGACTTGAGAATATACCATTGACATTCACAAGGAGATCCATGGAGTGGGCTTTAAGAATCGAGTCCCTCAGGCACTCAGAGATCTGGAAATTTGCCATGAAGGATGTGGGGACTCCAGATGTGTGCATAGATACCAGGCTCACCAAAGCTGTCTGGACCAAAGGAATAAGGAATGTCCAGGTGCAGTTATCCAGAAACATAATTAGAATGAAGATTTGCTAAACAAGCTCTTGTGACCGATACTTTGGTGACCTATGACCCTATTACCATGTGCAAAAATCTACAGTCAATTGTGGATGAAAGCTAACTGCTGAGTGGGAATAAAGTCATAAAACTGCAAAAAACAAAAAAAAAGAATTTATTCTGTGAAGGTCTTAGTGCAGTTGTCTTCAAAGATTGATTTGTTCAGGTCTCACATATTGAATCTGGAGGAAGAGGACAGATGATTTAATAAATGACACAGATTACTCAATAACCATTTGGAAGAAAATAAGGTTAATGATTACCCTCACATGATAGATCAAAATAAATTTCAGAGATTAAATATTTACATTCTTTTTAAAAGAAGCCATAAAATAGTAGGCAAAAAACATAGCTGATTGTCGATGTAATCTTGGTGGCAAGAAAAGTTCTTCTAAGCATAACTCTGGTGAGAGAAAAGAAAAAGATTCGGTACAGTTTATGTAAAATTTTTGAAAGTCAAAAAGTACCATAAATAAGCTAGGTAGAGTGGTTCATACTTGTAGTGCCAGCTACTTGGGAGGCTGGATCTGGTGGATCAATTGAGCCCAGAAAAACAAGACCACCCTGGGCAATCTAATGAGAGCCCTTTCTGATAAATAAATAAATAAAAATAAATAAATAAATAAAAGCAAGCCAGGCACTGCATAAATAAATAAATAAATAAATAAAAGCAAGCTCATGCATGTAATCCTAACTACTCAGGAGGCAGAGATCAGGAGGATCAAAGTTTCGAGGCCAGCCCAGGCAAACAGTTCTCAAGACCTTATCTTGAAAAATACCTAACACTAAAAAGGGCTGGTGGAGTGGCTCAAGTAGTAGAGCCACCTGTCTAGCAAGTGAGAAGCCCTGAGTTCAAATCTTAATACCTCCAAAAATACATAAATAAATAATAAAAGGTAATTAATTAATTACCATAAACACAGTTAAATGTAAGTGACTGAGCTTAAATATTTTAAACATACCAGGTCCTAGGAAGATCTTTTAGCAAACACTGAGGAAGGTAAGCAATCTTAAGAAACATCAAAAACATTATTTAGCTTCAAAATAGTATATATGGGTCTACTTGACTTTTCTTTCGTGGCTGTAAATCAGGTTATTGCCGGGTTTTTGCTTTCATAGGTAATGCTTAAACTGTTGTGTGAATTTCCTAGGGACAGACTCCTAGCAGTGACACTAATGGTTGGGTAGATAACAGCATTTTATTTTATTTATTGTTTTATATCATTTTCTTTTCTTTCTTTATTTGGTGCTGGCGATTGAACTCAGGGCCTCACTCATGCTAAGCATTGGCTCTACCAGTGATCCACGCCTCCAACTTCATGTTTTTATTTTTGCAATCTGGAAAGGGACAAAATAACTATGTCACACACACACAAGGCACCTTTCCAAATGTTTGGCAAGAATGGGTCGGCTTGGGCCTAGGGATTATTGTGGGTCTGTCACCAAGGTCGTTGGACAGTACTTACCCTCCCATCCTTCTTCCTCCACAGTTCCTGCTCATTTTCCACAAGGCTGCAGCAGGGGAGCTGCAGGAGGACAGCGGGCTGATGGCGCTGGCCAAGCTCTCAGAGATCGATGTTGCCCTGGAGGGTGTCAAAGGTGCCAAGGACTTCTTCGAAGCCAAGGTAGGTGCCTGTTCCTTCTCTGCAGAGCCACTGGCCCTCCCTTCACTTTGCGCATGTGACAGGCACTCTGTGCCCAGTGACTGTCCCATTTGCACGAGGTGGTACATCATGTACAATAGCAGGAAAATGGTATGGGGGAGTGTCCACGTGCTAGCTGAAAATTAAACACAAAACAAACACAGCCAAGGGGTAAGTCCATTCAATCCTGCTTTCAGATTCAGACGGGCTTGTTGATACAGTGCTCCAAGATTTACTCTCCCTCTAGACTTTGCTGAAGAATTCCTTTCTTCCCCCAACCCCAGTTGAGTTGCTGCAGCAGCTCCCCCATCTTTGCATCTTACACACTTGAGTTGTAAACCAGCGGGGAGGGGTCCAGGGCGGCCTGCCCTGAGTGGGTGTTTGCACCATTGACGGTGGTTGGGAGTGGGAAGAACTCTCCAGCCAATGGCCCCAAAGCCCAACTTGGTGGTTCCATCCATTCCCAAGTCCATGAGTAATTGAATATCCATGAGCCTACCTGCAGCTAGCTGCTGCTATTCCCATTTCTGCAGAGCACATCTGCAGACACAGGGACTAGAGAGTTCTTGTACACCCTGCTGAACAGAGCAGGGGTGCAGTGGGAAGGGCGCCCATACTGTACCAGGTAGCCTCAGTCCTTCACTCGCTTATCTTGTTGTCACTATGTACCTTGGTCTCTTCATCTGTACGATGAGGGTGACGGTATGATTTCCCTGAGGATTAAATGAACTCACATATGCAGTGTTGAGAAAGTGCCTGGCTCAGCTTTTGGGGGCTCCCTGCCACTCCAGGCAATTGCCAACCTCTGGGGGAGTTTGAACTTTTTCCGGGAGCTTGCCCAGAGACAGTGTCCTTGTTGACATATCCCAGCCTACTCAGACCCCTAACCACTTTCTATTGTCACCCAAATTCCTAGTGTGCTCATTGGACACTGTCAAGAACACAAACAGAATGTGTCCAATCCTGAAAGTGGTTTGACCCTTTCTTAACTGCTGAGACACAGCCCCTTCACAAGGGACAAGTGAACACAATGTCTCCCTCCTCCAGGGGGCACACGCAGCCCAGTGAGGAAAGTCAGCGCCCTGTGACAGGGAGGCGGGGGAAGGCGGGTGCCACTGGGATGGGGTCCCTCGATTCATTGATGGGGTCACATTTGCAGTCTGTTGTGAAAGGTCCTAGGGTTGAGGCCCAGGGGTAGCAGGAAAGTCCACTGCCGTGATGAAATGTGCATGAGTCCTGGGAATTTCTTATTGGGGGACTCAGAATCTGTCATATTCTGACTCTGATCCCACTCCAGCCCCATCCACTGCCTTCAAATGCTGTTAGGTTAGCTGGGTACTTGTGGCTCACGCCTGTAATCTTACTACTCAGAAACAATGATCAGGAGGATCGAGGTTTGAAGCCAGCCAGGCAAATAGTTCTCGAGACCCTTTCTCGAAAACAGTCAACACAAAAAAGGGCTGGTGGAGTAGCTCAAGTGGTGGAGTGCCTGCTGGGTAAACGTGAGGCCCTGAGTTCAAACCTCAGTACCACCAAAAACAAACAGACAGACAATGCTGCCAGACCTTTTCACAACTGGTCCTCAGTACCTTTGGTTCACTCTGCCAGAAGCCCCACCCCAAGGTCTCTGCCTGGAAAATTCTCTCCTTTCAGACACACCTTCAAGGGTTGCTTACCTGACTGTCCACACCAGGAAAGTCCCCCTGCGCCTTCATGTGTCTGTTCCATGTGGAAGGAGTGCTATGCTTTTTCTGTTAGAGGTGCTCTTGGACACTGGCAATAAGAGGATAAATTGACTCAACTTTCTGTAGAACAGATTGAGACTTGCTGTTGACATTTTGCCTCTGGAACTTTATCCTTCTGAGGCACTCACATGCACACATAGGTGTCTGGGCAAGGATGTTCATACAGCACTGTTGTTAATAGAAAAACACTGGAAATAGCTAAAGCTTCCATTATCAGAGAACTGAGTCCATTCTGGTATATTCTTATATTCTTCACATGCTGAAGAAGCCATCAAAGATTGAAATGTGGGCTGGCATGGTGGTGCATACTGTAATCCCAGCACTTGGGATGTTGAGGAAAGAGGATCAAGTGATTGAAGCCAGCCTGAACTACACAGAGAGATCTGTCACACACACACACAATCAAAACCCCCACAAAGATTGGACCGATATCCAAACTAAATTAAGCAAAATGATACGCGTGACTTGGATTTTTAAAAAAGTATTAAAACATAACCTGGATAATATACCCATAAGTATTAGTAATAGTTACGAAGAAGGGACTTACTTTATATTTCTGTAATATTTTATAGCGAGTGTACATTTTTTATAAGCAGGAGAAGAGATGAAAAGCCTAACAATAATTTTTTTTTCTGACTTGCCATGTTTATATGTCTGCCTCCTCACTCAGACTCAAAAGCAGAGTGGGCGGGTTAACTTTGTAATTACAGCGCCTGCTGTGTAATGGCCCTCAATAAACGTTGGTATGAATGACCAATGAAGAGCATCACCTCTCGGATTTGGGAGAGGTCACAAAGCAGCTGACATTAGTGACAGATATTCTGAGACGAATGGGGATTCACCTTGTAATCAAGGAAGCACAGTGTTCCAGCCGTGGGAACAAGACTGAGGACTCTGATGCATGGAGGGTAGGCAGTGTTGGAGGCTGAGGAGATGTCCAAATGCAGTGAGGACACTGGGTGTGGTGGGGAGCAGCAGGGATGACACGGCTGGGAGTGAGAGCCAAGATGAAAGTGCAGAGACCAGGGGATTGGACCAGCACTTCTCACCTTCTGGTATGCCATGGTCCATGTGGATAGGTGACTTCAAGGTCACATGACCTCTGGACAGACTGGACATACTCCAACAGGGAGCTCTAGTTGTCCCCAGGCTGACAGACATCTTCCCAGTCTGCTGAGTGCTAGCACCATCTGCAGACCAGCTTCTCAGGCCCTACCCAGATCTACCTGGAATTCTCCAGGGTGGGACCCGGTTGCAGGTAGCTGATCCAGCAGTTGCAGGTAGTTCCAATGCACAGCCAGGCTCAGACAGCACAGCTGCAGGAGCTGGGGAACCCTCCTCAGGAGAAGCACTACAAGGGCAGATGCCTGGGGAAAGATCTCACAGGTGTCCGGAGAAGAATGTTGATCCAGCAAAGGTAGCAACTGGGACCAGGGACAGGTAAGGATGAACTGGAAGCTCTAGAACTCTCAGTGTTCCTGGCCACCAGATTGGGAGAGGGAAATCGGCCATGAAGTTCGTAGGGCCATGAGGAGAAGAGCTGAGATTTAAATCAGGACAGCCTCCCCTCCCCCACAGAACGGGAGTGGGTTGAGGAAGAAAAATTATAAACTAGGTTTTGTATGAAGACCAAGGTGATTTCAGGCACAGAAAAGGTATCCCTTTTTTTGATGGGCATCATGTTGGTTGCAGATCATTCTGGATTATTTCCTGTTGGGCAGAACTTGACCACACCTTGCTATATAGGAGGATACAAGAGTGTCTTTTTTTTTTTTTCCTGGAGATCTCCATGTCTGGCTGATACTATGCTCCCAGGGAGAATGGGATACTCGCTATTGAGACCATGGAGTAATTCGTCCACACATGTCATTCCTGAATCTCCAGTGGCCAGGGCTGGAATATCATCGTCCTGACTGGCCCCTCCTGGGCCAGGGGTGGAGTCAGTCTCCATGTGCCAAGGGCACTTCCCATAGGAAGAAAGAGGGTAGAAAATGGATGCTTCACGATCATTCAGTGACACAGACAGCAGGCACCCTCTTCACAGGTGCAAGTTGAAACAAAGGCATTGACCAATGGCAAATGTCATGATGATCTCACAGTGGGGAAAGCTGGTAGTTAGGCCTTCGAGAAGAAATAATCAAAGGTTCAAAACCCTGGGGAGCAGTTTTAGGAAGAGATTAGCATTGGAGGTGTAGTTGGATGATAGAATGGTTGCCTCACTTGCTCACAGCCCTGGATTCAGTCTCCAGCACTACAAATCAGTTAATAAAATAATAAGAAAGAAAACAAATTTTTAAAAAGAGATTAAATTAGATAAAGAACAAAAGGTCTTGGCCCAGCAATTAGATCAGTAGAGATTTTTTTTCTGGTGGTGCTGGAAATTGAATCCAGGATTTCGCACATGCTAGGCAAGCTTTCTATCACTGAACTCCATCCTCAGACCAGTAAAGGTTTTTGAGGGATCAGGTTCAACATGTTGGCTAGATTGAAGTCGATGGAGAGTGAATGGGACCTGGGAGGAACAGCCCTGAGGACTGATTCTCCTGTCTCAAGAAGGCCTGGACTGAGGAGTGAAGGGCAGCTTGGGTTCAGGGAGGAACTGTTTGGTTTGCTTTGTAGTTGGCAGAAGATGTCAGCTTGTTTTTTAGGTCACACAGAAATGGTCCAGGAAGAGAAAGCATGAAGATAGTGAGGTGACTAAGTCCAGAGAAGAGGAGGACTTTTGTAGTGGAAAAGAAGGAAGTCACAGCTGACAAGATTTCTAATTTCCCTCTTCCTCTGATCTGGCCTTGAATGGTGGGGAGGCGGGGTAGTTAGCAAGCTTGTGAGTGTTGAGGCTGGGTTAGACCTTCTGCCAAGTACTTCAGTTTCACGTTCATTTTATCTAATGCTTACAAAAATATTTTGGAAGCAGGGGTGATTGTCCCATTTTGAAGATGACACACTTTCAACTGTGTCATCAGTGACTTGTTGGTAAATGCTTAGCAACTGGCTCTCTATATATGCAACAAACTATATACATGCTCAAGTTTATTACACATTTTATAAGCAATTACGCATCACATAATTTACAAATAAAAATATGCACTGCCGTCCCTGTCAATTCCTTATAGCCTGTTGATTCTCAGAGAAGGCACTCCTTGATTTTTGCAGGGCTCCTGTATCCCTAGTCAGCTGTGGTTCCAATAGACAAAAGAATGCAGTTCCCACATGAGTGTTAGCTGAAGTTGTAAGCTAAAATTTATAAGAAAAAAATGAGAGGATGTATATTAGGACTTTATTCCTGAATGATTTGTGCAATTTCTTGGTAAAAAAAGAATATTCTCTCAATTTTTGAAGCTTTTCATAATGGAGAGACAACAGATTCCACACACTTTTAAGTGTCACCTGCATGTTGAACATTCATTTTTTCATCACTTTAAGAGAAGATTGTCTATTAGATCAAGGGCAAACACAACAAGGGGATTGGGCTATGAGCACATGATAAAAGCGAGAGCACACAAGGGAGGGGTGAGGATAGGTAAGACACCTAAAAAACTAGCTAGCATTTGTTGCCCTTAATGCAGAGAAACTAAAGCAGATACCTTAAAGCAACTGAGGCCAATAGGAAAAGGGGACCAGGAACTAGAAAAAAGGTTAGATCAAAAAGAATTAACCTAGAAGGTAACACCCCCACACAGGAAATCAATGTGAGTCAATGCCCTGTATAGCTATCCTTATCTCAACCAGCAAAACCCCTTGTTCCTTCCTATTATTGCTTATACTCTCTCTACAACAAAATTAGAGATAAGGGCAAAATAGTTTCTGCTGGGTATTGAGGGGGGGAGTGGGAGGGGGTGGAGTGGGTGGTAAGGGAGGGGGTGGGGGCAGGGGGGAGAAATGAACCAAGCCTTGTATGCACATATGAATAATAAAAGAAAAATGAAAAAAAAAAAAAAAGAGAAGATTGTCTAGATAGTGGATGAAACAATAAATCAAACCCAGATCTGTAGCATTGCTGATTTCCATGGTGTAAATATTCACACTGAGGCTGCTTTCAAGCTCTCAGCGGGATATGGATAAGCGTGGAGTCGGGAAGTGATTCATTCACAAGAGATCATTGTCATCTGATGTTCCCTCCACGGAGCACACTGGACATGGTAACTGAACAGCATGCGTGACAGCAAGTGTAATAAAACAATCAGAAGAGGACGGCTTTTTCGTATTTATTTCGTACATGTAGTGGTTACTTTTTTTCCACTGCTGGGATCAAATACGTGACAGAAACAACTGAAGGGAATGATTCACTTTGGTTCAAGTGGTCTCCGGGCCTTATGTGCTTAGGCAGTGCATGGTGGGGGGGAGTGGGTGACAATAGAGAGCTATTCAGCTCCTGGCAGAGAGGAAACACTGTGTGAGACAGGAAGGGGTCAGGGACAAGATACCCCTAACCCTCCCCCACATTGATCCACTTCCTCCAACTAGGACTCACCTCTGAAGTTTCCAAATCCTCCTAAAATAGTGCCATCAACTGGGGACATAAGGGGTTTAAGAGACATGAGCCTCTTGGGGACATTTCATAGTCAACCCGTAATCGTAAAATGCAAGACAGAAGGAACAGTTGATAAATATGGTTACATCAAAATGTTAAGTACTTCTGTGGCCCAAGATACCTGAGAGTTAAAAGAAAAAGGGAGAAAGTGTCAGAAAACTATGTAACATGGAGCTCGTACCCTACACTACGGGGAGAACTACAAAATAAAACAGAACAGCTCAGTCGAAGAATGGGGAAAGGGAAAAGTTTGCCAAAGAGGAAATAAATCTGATAGACAAGTTTTTTTGTCTTATCAGATTGGCAAAAAGTAAGAATGTTAAGGATAAGCTTTGGCCAAATTGTGGGGAACAAGGACTTCTAACTCATGACAGTGGGGGTGTAAATTGAAACAACTGCTTTGGAGAGCAATTTAATAGCCTTTCCTAAAACAATACACACACTCAGTGTGCTTTCAGAAATTGTACCAAATTGATGAGACATTGGGGGAAAAAATCAGTTCTAGAATCGAGGATTTTTGAGATGGCCTTATCTGATCTGATGTTATTGAAGACAAATTGTTAGGTTTAGAAAACCCAAATGACACCAAATCCCACTCACAACAAACAAAAGTAATACTTAGAAGTAAGTTGAGAATGATTGACTTATAACTAATTTCTTTCTTTTTTTTTTTTTTTTTTTTGGCAGTACTGGGGTTTGAACCCAGGGCCTATTCGCTGAGTCACCCCACCAGCTCTTTTTTGTGAAGGGTTTTTCAAGAAAGGGTCTTGAGAACTATTTGCTCGGGTTGGCTTTGAACTGCAATCCTCCTGATCTCTGCCTCCTGAGGAGCGAGGATTACAGGTGTCAGCCACTGGCACCTGGCTATACCTAAAATTTTAATGGCAATATAAAAGCAGAATTGAGTAAAAATGGACACACTCAGAGAAAACTGCTGCAAAGGTTTTCCCTTCCCATGGGATGAAGGATGCAACCCCAGGGAAAAAAAGGATTCTTTTTTTTGTTTGTTTGTTTTTTCCCCTAGAACATAACAATGTTATTATAATATTAGAATTAAAGGAAGGGGGTAGGAGGGTGAATATGGTGGAGATATTGCATACTCATGTGTGTAGGTGGAAACATGAGACCTGTGGAAATTATTTCAGGAATGGGGGAGGGAGGATAAAGGAGAACAATGGAGGGGGTGAATCCAAATATTGTAAGAACTTTTGTGAATGTTACAGTGTACCCCAGCACAACAACAATACAAAGGAGAAAAAAAATAAAATGAGCAATTATAAGAATCAAAAAAAAAAAAAAGTGGGTAAGGCCTGAGGGTGTGGCTCTGTGGCAGAGCTTGCCCACCATATCTAAGTCCCTGGGTTTGATCCTCGATATCAGAAAATTGTGGGTGATACGCCTCAAGTGCCAGCAGATAGAAGCATGCATAAGCCAGAAACAAGTCTGCTGAGTTTTGTTTGCACTAACAGCAGACCTGTGAAGACCAGAGGAAGGAGTGTGGCATGGCCCCTGCAGGCCATGTGTCAACATCTCCATCTCCCTCCCGCCCTTACTCTGCCATCTGTGTTTGTCCTTTCTCTACAGGCCCAGGCCTTGTCATCTGCCAGTAAGTTCGAAGCTGAGTTAAAAGCCGAACAAGATGAGCGGAAGCGGGAGGAGGAGGAGAGGAGCTGCGCCAAGCAGCCTTCAGGGAGCTCAAGGCTACTTTCAGCACATAGTCCTGAGGACCTTGACCTCTGATCTCAGCTGTGCCTCACCGATTTCTAAGGAAGATGGGGCTCCTGGCATCTTCACCCCTGCCAGCTCCCCCACCCCCAGCCTCCCAGACCCCGGTGCCTCAGGCCTCCTTCTTAGCTTCCCCAGGTTGGCCAGAGGCTGCATTAATCCTTCCCAGGGCCCTGGCCCCCTGGAGGGGGTTGATGGATGCTCTCTTCTCTTCTACCTTGCTCCTTTGCCCTTGCCTGTAGCCAGGATTTGCCTCTTCTTGGCGACCTTCACTTCCCCCACCGCCCCCCACCGCCCCCCCAGTCCCTTTATGGTTCAACATCAGCAAGCAGTCTGCTGTGTTCATTTGTACAGATAAGTTTTTCTTTCGTGATCCTTAAAGGACATGTTGCCCATTTTCTCAGGCAGTTCTCTGCACTCCTCACCTTCCCTGTTCCCATCCTTAGATTCTGCAGGTTGCCTTTGCATAGCCTTTTATCCTATGGCAATGGTGGGATTGGAGAGCAGACCACTAGAGAGGGCGTTGCCCCTAGGCCCACCCTCTCTTTCCTCCTAATCCTTGTCTTCCCACTTCAGCCCGTTAGTTTCCCCCTTCTAACTACTGTTCGACTTAAATGTAACAATGAAAGGAGCAATAGAAATAATAGTAAATGCCTACAAAGATTCCTGTTAACTCCGAATCTATGCAAATCATTCCGTGGACCCTGGCATTCCCAAGTGACATATCCATAGTCTCTCAAAGGCCCAAAGTCATGGCCATCTTCATCATCTAGCTTCAAGCTGTTGAGGTAAAGATGTTCTCACCCACAGGACAGCTTTCTTTTAAATCTCATGAGCTCTAGGGGTTTCTTGTATTCTTAAAAAAAATTTCCTAATGTTATCTTTGTCTCTTCTCTTTTGTAACTACTATCTTTACAATAAAGAAAACATCTGCCTTTCTACCTTATAACTTTCCTTTCCAATAAACTGTGCAAATTAACTTGGCTATCACATAAATGTACCTCTAGTTGTCTTTGAATTAGGGGAGTGTGTTTCATAGGGGGGGCCAAGTCCATCTCTGAGCTGCTGTTGACGCCAAGCTCCTGACGTGCAGTAGGAATAGGAACAGACGGTGGGTTCTCACTCTGTGGCATTCAGAGTTCTGAGGTGGTCAGTCGCTGTCCCCCTCCTACCAATCAGGATGCTCTTAGCTGCTGGTGAGATCTGTAGCTTAATTTCTTAAGCTGGGGGTGGTTGTGCACATCTATACTTGCAGCACTAGGAGGCTGAGGCAGAGAGAATTTGAGGCCTCAAGACCCTGTCTCAAACCCTGCCTCTCTCGCTAAAAAAGTTTAATTTCTTTTGCTTCTAGACCCCTTGAAACTCTGATGAGGGCTTAAGGCAGGTTAGATCAGGGGAAATGAGGCATGGGAATCAAGAGTCAGGAACTCAGAGATAAACACTGTTAACAAGTGGCTTGATTGAAAGCACACAGGCACCGTGTTCTTTGCTGCAAGCCTTACACCCCCTCAGCAAGCTGCAACATTTCATATAAAGGCAAGAGAGCAGCTCTCTCCCTCTGACCTTGCCTGCTTGCCCAAATAATCAGTGCACCCTGGGAACTCAACAAAGATAGCTTTAAGACACTTATCTTGGGAAAAGCCACCTGGGAAAATGACTCCTCTGGGCACAAAAAGTGTTTACAAAGGAAAACACGTATCTCGAGGATGGACTCCTGTCTTAAAAGGAGCAACTGGCAGGACCCACGTTTGTTTCAAGGGATGCTCAGACACCTATTGTCATAGTGACCCAAATTTAATAAAAGGGCCAACCTTGAAATCTTTGGGCCCAATTGATAAAACAGTGTAACAGCAAGAATAATTAAATGCACCAGGTGTCCGGGACAAAAGGGAGCACTTGTCCTAAAGGTAAATTTGAGCCAAACCAACCCTCAACCTACTTTTTCCACCATAAATGCCCTGATGTTAGAGCAACTCATTACACCTGTTATCAGATGTGCCAGCATGCACTGCTGGCTTGTATATGATGTTTCTTTGTTTCTTTGTTTCTGTGGTACTGGGGTTTGAACTCTGGGCTTCATGTATGCTAGGCAGGCGCTCTGCCACTTGAGCCATACTCCCAACCTTTTTTCTATCATTTCTTAACTTTGCTTTAACTAATAAACTTTCTTAGTCTGTATCAGTGTGTCCTAAAGTTCCTTTTGGCGACAACACCATGAACTTGGTACCCAATGGCCAGGCGGATGCCTCCTTCCTTTTGGACACTCCTCCCTGGAGTGTCACCAGTCCTGGTAACAGACCAATGCCTGTCTTTCTATGAATAATTCCAGTATATTTGGGGGGCCTGCTAAGGCCCCCTGTCCTAAGAACACCTTTTGCTCCCCAGGTAGAATGTTTCTGCACAAACTTTTTTTTTTTTTTTCACCAGGGCTTGAACTCAGGGCCTGCTCCTTGAGCCACTTCACCAGCCCTTTTTGTGTTAGGTATTTTCAAGATAGGCTCTCGTAAATTACTCGCCCGGGTTGGCTTTGAACCTCTATCCTCTTGATCTCTGTCTCCTGAGTAACTAGGCCTGCAGGGGTGAGCCATTGGCACCTGGCTTGTTTCTGCCCAAACTTATGTCAAGACTTACATACAGTTCTTAGGCATTCTCTCTCTCTCTAATTTCTCTCTCTTTCTTTCCACCCCCTCTTTTAAGATAAGGTTTTCCTATGTAGCCCAAAATGGCTTAGAACTCGTGATTCTTCTACCTCAGTTTCCTGAGCCCTGGGATTACAGACTTGCACCATCACAGCCAGCTCCTCAGGCATTGTTTTTCTAGCAAGGGTTACCTTCCATCCCCTCACCCGAGGGGATTTAATTGTAAAAACTTGGAAGCACCCAAGATGTGCTACACCCTGAAATATTAACCATGGAAAGAGATGCACAACCAAGCCATGAAAAGCCATGGAGGAAACGGAGACGCAATGTAGCTAAGTGAAAGAAGCCAGCCTGGCAAGGATCTGTAGTATTCGATGCCATCCTAGGAAAGGCAAAACTGAAGACAGTGAGAAAAATCTGTCATTGTCAGGGCTCAGGGGGCGGGGGAATCAGTAGATTGAGCATGGGGGGATTCTTGGGGCAGTGAAATTTTTTTTTTTTTTTGGTGGCACTGGGTTTTGAACCCAGGGCCTCACACTTGCTAGGCAGGTGCTCTCCCACTTGAGCCATGCCCCCAGCCTGTTTTTGCTTTAGTTTTTTTTTTTTTTTCCCAGATAAGATCTCTCTTGTTTTTTTGTTTTGTTTTGCCTGGGGCCAGCCTGGACGTGATCCTCCTCAACTTACACCTCTTCATAGCTGTGCCCCGTCACACCTGTTGCTATGAGAGGGCCTTGCTAACTTTTTGCCCAGGCTAGCCTCAAACCATGACCTTCAGAATCTCTGCCTCCCAAGTAGCTAGGAATACAGACAAGAGCCACTGTGCCTGGCTTCTACCTTACTCCATATGTTACCCCGCCTCCCTTCCCTCTGTCCTTCCGAATGGTGCAGTCCAGGTCTATGCGGTGACAGTTCCTGGAAAATGGTACACCTCAGACTTTTGCACACACACACACACTGCTTCCTCTGCTGCCTCCTTCCTCCCTTCTACTGGCAAACGTCTTCATTGTTTGCTCAGCTCAGAGAGTATCTTCAGGAAGCTCTTTTGGTGCTCTGAGGCTAGGTGAGGAGTCCCTTCTCAGGGTTTCCATTCTACCCTGAGATTTTCTTTGTTGAAATCCTGTAGCATTCTTTCTACTTCTCTGCCTTCCCTACAGGCCTAGCATGCTGCCTGGCATGAAACTGACAGTCTTTGCATGTTGGTTCCACAGGGACATGTCAGGTTTGTTGAGCAGACAGAGATGGACAAGACAGATCCCTGGCACTAATATTAGGCACCTGTGTTACTGTAATGAAACACCTGAAGCTTGGGAGCCTTATAAAGAAAAGAGGTTTATTTAGCTCACAGTTCTGGAGAATTGAGAGCATGGTGCTAGTATCAGTTCTCCCTGGTTATGACCTCATGGCAGATGGCATCACAGTTACAGGAGCATTGTGGGAGGGAGGGATCACACGAGTACACGGGACTCCCAGAGTGAGGGGAGCCCTTCTGAGGTTAGCTCCCTCAGTGGGCTAAGGGCCTCCCACCAGGTTCCACCTGTTAGATCTCCCATAATCTCAACACCAGCACACTGAGGACCAAACCTCACACCTTAACATGAGGGCCTTCCCCAAGGGGCAGCTCTGACAGTGGGGACAGCAGAGACTGTGGGCATACCTTTCCCACTGGAGGCAGATGAGTCCACATCCCGTGGAAAAACAAACCAACCCATGAGTCTTGGGAATTTGGGCTCAGACACTAGCAACTCAGACCTCACCAAGCCTGTTTCCTCTCTGGAAAATGGGGAGGACAATTGCCTACCTGGCAGATTCTATGCCAACACATTCAGTGCTCAGGACACATGGGTCACCCTCTACCCTCTACCCTCTACCCTTCACTACTGCAATTCTGTCTCCTCCCAAGCGCTGGGTCCCTAAAGCTACAGTGGCCCAAAAGTGTCCAGTCCTGGCTGCTCTCTTGGCCCCATTCCCATCTTGGTGGATGCCCACTTACCCAGCTCCTCTGTTCTGTTTGAGGCCCCTTTTTTAGCTAGCCCAAGAAGACTGCCTATCTGTCTACTCACCTTGCTGGGCCTGACCATGTGGTCTGACACCTGTGCCTTTGTCTCCTTGCTGACTCCCCTTGGCCACCAGGCCGGATTCTGGCCCATGCTTGCTCACCTGGCCCAGCTATATAAGAACAATGGTTTCACAGACATCCACTGGGTCCTGTGGTAGCTGCGAGTCCTAGGGAGCCAATGTAGGATTCCACAGCTGAGGGACGTGCTGAGGATGGGACTTTATTAAGGGTCAGTCTCCGGCCTCCTCTCATCTCTTTCCAAGACAGTCACTTTAGTCATGTGGTGTTAGTGGGAGTGTACGTTGCTGCTATGTTTGTTTGTTTGTTTGTTTGAGACGGTCTTTCTATATAGCCCAGGCTGGCTCAAATTTATGCTCCTGCTTCTGCCTCTTAAGTGCTGGGATTATAGGAGTGCACCACAACACCTGGATATCTGGTGATTGTTTTGGTGGTCTGGGGTTTGAATTCAGAGCCTTGATCTTGCTACCTTTGAACCATGCTCCCAGCCCTTGATGCTGGCTTTTTGAAGGGCAATTTGGTGACTATGAACATTAAAATTTGTA